TTTCAGAGTGTTCATGCACCAGTTTTAATTCTGCAAAGGCACTCCTGGTCTCCACTGAAACCTTGGCAACCAGGATTCAAAATTAATCCAGAAATATACCCAAGCTGTGCACCTATGTTTTCAGAGGGAACGTCTAACACAAGCCGCATCCCTATTCCTTGAGCTGCCTTTCAACTGACCAAGAGCACCTCTGTCTTGTCTGGAGTAAATATCAGTTTATTCACCCTCATTCAGTCCATTACTGACACCAGATACTGATCTAGAGTCAAATCAGTTTCCTTGGATTTAGATGAAAAGGAGATTAAGAGCTGGGTGTTATCTGCATACTGGTGACACCGAACCCCCAAACTCCGGACAAATCCCAGTGGTATCATGTAGATGTTAGGAGACAAAACAGAATTCTGAGGGGATCCCACAAGCCAATGACAAGGGTGCTGAACAGCACCAGCGTTTGAGCTGCCCCCTCCAGGAAGAATCTCTCTCTCTCTCTCTCTCTGTGTGTGTGTGTGTGTGAGAGAGAGAGAGAGAGAGAGAGAGAGAGAGAGAGAGAGAGAGAGAGAGAGAGAGAGAGAGAGAGAGAGAGAGAGAGAGAGAGAGAGAGAGAGAGAGAGAGAGAGATTTTAGAAGTGGTTTTACCATTTTCCCTTCATCAGTCAGTTTCCATGGTCAAGTGCAGATTCAAACCTTTTTCTCCATCACTTTATCCCACTATACCACACTGGTAAAACAGTGCCTCCAAGATCCATCCCAGAGAGACAGACCAGAAGGATACCATGGTTGATAGTATCGAAAGCCACTGACAGGTCCAGCAGAACCAAGTGGGGCACATTTACCCTGGCCAGTGGTCATCCATCCATCCACATTTCTCCTGGCATTGGTCATCTATCAAGGCTGACCAAAGCAGTCTCCATCTCATAATCACAGACATGAACCCAGACCGAAATGGATCTAGATAATTCAAGTCACCCAGGAACCCCTGAAGCTGAGAAGTCCCAACCTGCTCCAGCACCTTGCCCAAGAATGGAATATTAGAGGCTGGTTGTAACTATTCGATATTATGGGATCCAAGGAGGGCTTTCTCAACATTAGTCTTACTGTTGCCTCCTTTAAGCATGCTGGGATCCTGCCCTGCTGCAAGGAGGCATTCACCACTCCTCGTACCCACTCAGACAGTCCCTCTCTGGCAGCTTTTATAAACTTTTTATAAGCTATGCAATGTGTGCAGTCATCTGTGGAAAAGGTTACAGTACATACCAATAGCAATACTAAAAATGCTGTCCTTAATAGGTGCTCAATTTAGAACTTAATAGCATATCACAGGCAAAAGATTTATATGATAAAAAGAGAAACCAGAGCATATCACATTCTACTGTAACAAGTAAATATTTGCATATTAATATTTAATGATGGCTGGATATGAATAAATATGTGAGAGATTTAATTCCACACTCTTATTGCTGAAGCACCATAACGCCATTTGAGAAGCCTATAAGAACAGAACTATTATCAGTTTTTAAACAGAACTACAAGGAAGTGAACAATGTTGTTAACGTATATCACCTACTTCCTCGTTCTCTTTATTTACACTGAATAATAAAGCTATGAAACAACCTTTAGTCCACCTGATAAACATACTTATTTAGTCTGTGGGCCTGATAAACTTACTATTATAATGACAGCAATCATTGTCATTGGAATGTGAATACAAGTGAATCAGTTTGCAACAGAGTAGGTGGATGCTGAAAGATTCAAGTGTAGATGTAAAATAAGTGCCCAATGGGAGAAGGCATGCCACAGGAGTAGGGGATGTGTGGACCTCCAGGTGTTGTTGCATGACAATTCTGGTCAGCCCTAGTGAGCCCAGGCTATCTAGAGTGATAAGGGAAACTACTGCTCAAAATATCTGAAGGCATGTATGCCTCTACTCACAGCTTACAGCAAAAAGGAAGAACAATCAATATAGCGAATATTCAGCAAAATGCCACAGGTCTTAACACAATTCTCTTTACATTCAATTCTTAATCCTCTATAGTAGCGTAACAGCAATACTAGGACAGAGCAACAGAATAAATAGCGCATTTCACTGTGAAAGGGAGATATACAGCACCATATCCTCCGACTATGGCAAATATCTTTTCAGTTGTAAGAAGCCTGAACGAAATGTCTGGTAGCTGGATCCTCTTGCAGACACAGACACTTTAGGAGAGAAAGGCAGGGCAGCTGCAACAAGTTCTGACCAAGGCTATTAAAATGGATAAATGAAGGGATGCAACAGAATTTCCAGTTTAACAAATGCATTTCGGATCCTATGCACAAAGGACAACACTAAAATAAAGCAACAACACAACTTTTTAATCATGAAGGGGACCCGTGATGGAAAGGGAAAAGGTTGCAGCAGAGATGCTGCTAAGGCCCAGCCAAGAATCTGAAGAGTACGTTCCGCTGCCCCTGAATTAGGAATTATAAAGAGCTGAGCATTTTTGCACTTGCTTGTATACTGTAATTGCCACTGCTTCTGTAAGTGGCAGACATGAGCTGCCAAGATCAAGAGCAGAACCAGATCTATTCCAGGAGGGGTGTGGCAGCTCTTCCAGGCAGCACGGCTTCTGTCGAAATCTGAGGCAGCCTCCCACAACATGATCCAGGGAGCATTTTGAGTTAGGACTTACATTTAAGAAGATAACAAATGGATTCTTTTTCCTTACTTGAAAGCAGTCTCAGGGGAACCAATGCATATTGGCCTTCAGGGAGCAGATTTCCCCTTTAATCCTGAGTCCCACACTATGACCTTGAGCCAGATGAAGGGCCCCACCCTTGGAATTACAGCTACATCATTTCAAAAGACTGATTTTTGAAAACACAAGTTCCAGTCACAAAATGCCCAATATGGATCAGGGCCACAGCACAGGGCAAAGGGCTGAAGTCCTATACCTCCATCTCATGTATTTAGGCTGGACCCTCAATATTTAAAATGGTGTAAGATAAAGACACAGCTACCAGTTATAGTATCATGTCATTTCACTCATACATCTTTCAAAACTATGCTATATTATACAATGCCGGTGTCTAAAGCGTTCTATGAGACCATGACAATAACCATTTACAGTGGTGCCTTGCTTAACGATGATAATCCATTCCAGGAAAATCGCTGTTAAGCTAAAACATCGTAAAACGAAATTAAAAACCCAATTGAAATGCACTGAAACCCGTTATGCGTTCCAATGGGGTAGAAACTCACCGTCCAGCGAAGATCCTCCATATGGCAGCCATTTTTGCTGCCTGTATAGCAAGGAATCCATCCCTAAACACCGCGGGGAGCCATTTTAAGCACCCAGTGGCCATTTTGAAAACCTGACGATCAGCTGTTTTTGATCGTCGTAAAGCAAAAATCGGTTCCCAAAGCAGGGAACCGATCATTGCTAAGCGAAATGCCCCCATTTAGACCATCGTTTTGCAACCACAATTGCGATCGCAAAAAGATCGTCGTAAAGTGGATTCATCGTAAAGCGGGGCAATTGTTAAGCGAGGCACCACTGTATACTAAAATGTGACATTATTTTCAAGTACCCAAGGCACTAATTATCTCGCTGCAGCCCTCACAGCAAACCTGTAAGGCAGGGACAGGCAACTAGCAGCTCTCCAGATACTGATAGACAAAAATTCCCACAAACCCCCACCACTTGGTATGCTGACTAAGCAATTACAGACTAACATCTGCAGAGCCATACATTCCACACCCCTGCTATAAGGAAAGCCCATATGATTATCCTAGAGAGTCCCCTGACAGAGGCAAAAATCTGAAGCATGAGCTCCTTCCTTTGCAATTCAGCCTCTTAGGCAATGTGTTACATTATCAGCCTTTTCCTCCAATTTCTGTCCTCGCAGCCTCTCCCATCTAAACATCTTCTTTTCTTTTTTAACAACTTTATTTTTAAAAAGTCATTTTCATATTCTTCATGCAAACATTTATCCATCATGCACTAAAAGCAAACAAAGAATTATATATAACTCTTTGGTTAGTTTTAGTGTACTTGTCCGCTTTATTCTAAGGGGACAGTTCAATGAATTAAGTCCAACCAGAATGATTTCTATGAGGTGAGTTGCTCTCCGGGCTTCCATTATTAACACACTATATGCAAAGAAGGGAAACCACCTTTCCAAGAAACAATCTTGTTCTGAAACTCCCCGGAACAGTCTGTCTCAACTTTGCTAATGCAATCTGGTGTGATATTACATGATACCCAATGACAGCCAAGCTTTGCTCTTTTCATTCCATTCTTACCCTAATAGCCGTTTTGGCTTAGTTATGTGTTAGGAGCTTTGCCTATTTTAAACAGAGTTACTGCAAAATGTTCACAGCTTTTCAGACACGAATACTGAGAATATGTTCAACATTCCGCTCTGCTGGGCTATCACAATAAAGGTAATATATACCACTGTCAGATACCCAACTCTTTCAACCAGAGAATGCTCCACAAGTACACCCTGCCTCCTTTGACACTCCACTCCACCCCAACTCCTCTTTGTTGTGTAGCCCAAAGGCAGATTTCTCTGAGAGTTTGTCATTGCCATTGGCACCATAAGCAGAGCCAGTCGAGACAATGTATACCTGTACCACGGGAAGCTTCCCCATGTCCATATCTTGAATTCAGCAGCTGGCATTCCAAGCTATGTGGATGTGTAGCACCCGCTGTGCAGTCCTAAGAGCTTGTTCTTTCGTTCTACCACTTAGAAAAGAGACTGTACTTTTTTACATATGTACTTGTGAAACTGTATTATGCCGATGTATGGTGGGGCAGCTGTTTGCCTGGGCCTCCAGCTGACGGCTCTTTAAACTTGGGAGTGCAAATGTACAATATCCCAAGCATGGGGATGGAGAAAAAGTGCACATAATTGTATTTTGCAAAATAATGCTATACTGAGACGGTAAAACTTGACTCAGCTTGAACCATGGTGAAAAAAGGATTACACAAAAGAAATCTACGCCTACTCAAACTTACCATTTCGAGACAGATCAAGTTCTACCAGCTGCATGAAGTTGGCTATCTCTGGAGGAAGTCGCTGAATTTCATTGTCACTAAGCCCAAGTTTTCGTAACTTTACAAGCTGGAAAAAAGGCTGAAAGAGAAAACAATGTCCCATGAAATACATACACAGGCTGCAGGCATTCGTACTAATCCATTTTTATAAAAATCACTCTAAATCTGCAGCATAAAAAAGGGTCCTAAAGAAATAATAACAGGAAATGTCACAAACTAGTAAACATTAAGCATCACTCTGTTCATAGAGTCTGTCACAGATAGCCCGCGTTTCAATTTGATTAGGAGAGGGCAAATCAACTCCATGATCAATAAACAGACAATGCTGCGGTTGCTATTTTTGTACCATTATTCTCATGATCTTTCACATGCTTACATATAGTAGTACATCAGGAAAACCCAACTGGGCTGTTTCTCCCATATTCACACATACTGGTGTTTAAAAATGCATTTCTATATTATCCTAATGTTCTTATTTTCACTGTAGGAAAAACACCTGCTGCAAGAACTCTGTAGGCTTGCCCATGGCTATGGATGGGGGCAGATCCACGAATAAGTGAGTAACAATGTGAACGTTAAGTGTTGACTTTGCCCACTAATCAGAATTAAAATTGGCAGTTATCACCTCTATTTTTGCATTTGATCTGAAAGTAACATGCATCTCAATAATAGCTGCTAGGGAACAAAAATAAAAGAGTGTACTACAGCACCCTCATTGTTTTTTGTGGCTTTCCCAAAGGCTTCTGGCAGGGTATTCTGCAAACAGAATTCTGAAACAAAAAAGGTTCTGGCCCAGTTCAAAAGGACTCTCATGACATTTTTCTATCCAGTGCCTTTCCAATAACTTAATAGCAGCTGAAATCCTATTCGTGTAAATTTGCACCACAAAAATCAGATGACATCATCATCTGGCAACAGGAATATTTAAATCAATTTAGTCAACAGAGTCCTGTCCCTCACACTTCGGGTTCTAAGGCTCCCTTTTGTCTTAGGGAAATCTCGGGAGCCTTGGCACCAGGGCAGATTGGGGGAGGAACTTTTAACAGCCAAAACTCAATCCCATATGGAAGCAGCCTCTGTCAGAACTCACCCTCTCCCATGGGGTTTTGCACATAGCAGAGAATGTCACAATTCCCACTGTGCAGCGGGGTAGTTTTCTACCTGATGACCAAAGAAACTAAAAGGGAACCAAATGCAGGTAGAGGAGATGTTCTACCTTAATGTTGTTACGAGGCTTTCAGTCAGTCCCACAATTTGGCCTAGGGAGTCGCCACCATATTATGGGGATGGAAGCACATTAAATATGAAAATCTTATCCCTATCTATCAATACAAGGAAGAACTTTATTCTCCCACTTACAACAGTAACATCATTGACTCTATTATGCCAGCAACCCTTCAGGGGCACCTACTTCAAGATGATTATTTCTGCGAACCAATTTGCTCATAGCACTATACCCCATATTTATATTGCATTAATACTTCCAGATTTTTTTCTTTAACTGGATATTACCAACTGTAGCAACTGCTGTGTAAACCTCAGTTGAATCAATGACTCAGGATATTAATTGCTGGTTAAGTTATGCTTTTATCAGTGTGCTATCACTACAGAACACAGAGGATAGCATTTCAAGTGCTCAGTGTAGCTGGACATTGATTGATCGAGTTGTAGCAAGGTGAGATGTACAAGGTTTCTCTTCAATAGGCATTTTCCTTGGCAAGCACAAAATCATTGCAACCTTTACACTGAAATGAGTGGGAAACTCACTGTAAGTGAATATGGACTTATCAAACTCTCAAAGGAATGCCTGAATCATCAGATAGGGAAAAATATGTTTTTCTTAATGAAGCAAAGGATAACACTGCACTTTATTCATGTCATGCATTAGCTCACATCTTTTAACAAATCTACAGAAGATCTGTACAATTTGCTACGAGAGATAATGGGCCACAAGCCATATAATATGCCCTAATTTTGTTTTCTTCCCTGGTCTTGACAGGGCTGATGCATGTTGTTTAGCAAATCCCGTCAAACCAGAAAATCCAGGCAACCAGAAAAATGTTTAGACACAAAGCTGTTATTTGTGTTTGTGTATGTGCTTGCTATCCAGCCCTTAAGAGATGAAAAATAATTCTTTCTTGCTTCTTCCTTGTTCCAACCTTGGTCTACGTGTCTGACAATAGTAAAAGCAAACAGACGTTGGGGAGGGGGAACATATTTTCTAACCAAAGTGGACATCTTTTAGCAGAACTCAATGTATGGAATTTGAATTACATGATAGAAGTTCAGAAACCCTAGTAATTCAGCAGATTCTACTGAATTTAGATGTGCAGCTCTTATATCCCAACAAAAGTCATGAGAAGGAGGGAAGATCTTCCTGTTTGCAAACATTTAATTTGAGCTATGCATCAGTGCAACTAATTTTTGTGGTGATTTCCGACATCATTATGTCAAATGGAAACCCCCAAGTCTGACAATGCCAGACACTGCCTATTTTCAGGTTTCTATCTGGCATGCAGTATAATTATAATACTCCTTTGATGAATGCTTTGTCTTGCCTCCAGTGTTTCGCAAAATGGTGAGCATGAGCAGAAGCTATAACTAGGTTTTCGTAACAGCTTAAATATAAGAGAGTTAGAATGAATGGGCAACTTGTCCAGAAGTAATCTTATATCATCATCATCATCCAGTGGTCAGAATCCTGTTGCTTAGCAAACTAAGTTACAGTTAGAGTACACCCATGTGAATCAATGTACAGAAGATTTGTCTCACTAAAACCCCCACTGAATTAATGGGCCTACTCTAATGCAATTTACTATGCCAAGCAACAGGATTTTGGCCAATAAATAGATGTAGGTACACCAGAGAATCTCTCTGGGGGCTATTGCTAATAAAGCAAAATATATTAAATGAAAAATGTATTATGTACTCAAAAACTCCAGCTAGTTTGCACACAATATACTAAGTACCACTGCAACAGCAGAACCTTTATGTTCTAAGAATCTGCATGTTCATGAAGGGCAGCTGCAATTCAAAACGCAGCCTTTAATTTAACAAGTGATGATGCACTGAACAAACAATTCTCCTATAAAAATCCTCAGCTCGCATTTCTGAAAGGTTCATACAAATTTAGGAACACTGATCTGGAAATAGAAGGTTCATCCATTATATGGCCATTTACATGCAAAGACAAGAGGCAGAGCAACAACTACAACTCAGTATCTGTTTAACATGGCCAGGAATAAAAACAGTTTTTAACAGTAATACCAGCTGTCAAACCATAACAGGAGGCTGCAAACATACAAGCCAGTAATTAAAACACTCTTACAAAATAGGAACAAAACATTGGTCTAACACCAGTGAACTGTGCAAGTCACCACCATCATGCTGAATGAAGACAAGAAAAACATGCTACATATTGAATCATTTGTATCTCTCTGTTAAAAGGCCCCAACAGCAGACTATAGGCCCATTCACACAGTGGGGTTGTCTCTAGTTGTTCTGGTATCTTCTGTTGCAGATTTGAATAAACCATCATCATATTTTTTTCTACACCTGGGGAGGATATTTGTTGCCTGGATGTACCAGAATGCACCCAGTCATCCTGTTATCACTTGTCCACGTGCATCTGGAACTGTTTTCTGATGTCTTATTTCCAAAATAGAGACGTCTCTCTCCTATCTCCTCTACTCTCTCACCGTTCACCTCATGGTCTCCTCCCCTTCCTTCTTGTTTTACTTGTCCATGGGGCGTGGAGGGATGGAAATTCACCGGAAGAAAATTTTGCACAAGGAGGCGTCATCAAGGGACACCCACCCACGAAGTGCATAAATCAGTATTGAACAACATAGTATACAAGTGACCACACAAGCTGATCCCGCTCTGCAGCAAACTGGAACAAAGCAGAACGAAACCACACCACTTGACAGTGGGATAAAAAGCCCTGGAAAGCAAGGGTTGTGTTTTTTCTCACACTTTGACACTGTTGGTATTAGTACCAGCCCTGCAATGTGTAGACACCATGATACATCATGCAGGGATGGTATGCATGGGTGCAAGAACAGTTGAAAAAAATGTTCAATGCAAATGGACTCTCTTATGTCTTGGCGTTTCACAAATAAGAAGCCAGGAATCTCAGGCTCATGTGCTTCGTGCTCTCTTTACATGTGGGAACAAATCCTCTGATCCCGGTTTGTGGTAAAGTATAATCGATAATAATCATGTGTCATCAATTCAATTCTGACTTATGGCAACCCTTTGAGTTTGAGGTCAGACACTATCATGTGTGACAGGGTAACCTCAACCCAACACTGAAATCCATACCATGGTTTGGTTTTACAACTGAATCTTCCCCGAGTGTGGACAGCAGTCAAGATGCAATCTGTGACTTTTGCTTTTCTGAACACAGCACATCCTAACAGAAGAAGGATCAGCAAAGCATTCCAATGCACACAAATGCCAGGTGGACGTGCAATTCACTTCCAATGGTGTGACATAATTTTATCCGTGCATTGAGGCTTGCAATTTAACTCAAGGCAAACAGATCAGCTTTTCCACAATACAGTTAACAGAGAAAATAATATACAAAGATTTAGTTTTTTCCTAGTGTAATAATGTGCATTAATACCAATATTTAACACGGCTTATCATAATTTAACTATGCCTGTTTTTTCACCACCACAAATAAGAAAGAGAAAAATTGCTGAGGCAGTGACACAGTTTCTGACCCAAAAAGGCCAAAAGAAAATTTTGGCTAATCTTCCTAAAACCGAACTGGCAGAGAAAAACAAAATGGCTTCCAAACTGAAAAAATTTCAAATTGAAATCTTCTCCTTCATAGCATGCAAGGCTATAATAAATATCCATCACCTAGTATGTATCTTCAAGTAATCCTCTGAAATGCAAAATCAGAAGCATTTTTAAGAAGCAAAGAACTATTGAATATATTCTTGAAGGCTTTCACAGCTGGGATCTGATAGTTGTTGAAGGTTTTTTGGGCTGTTTGGCCATGTTCTGGAGGTTTTTCTTCCTAACATTTCGCCAGTCTCTGTCGCCGGCATCTTCAGAAGACACCAGAAC